TCATAATTCCAGGGAATCTGCTACGAAGCTTTCTGCTCCTGCTCTTCCCACTCCTTCGACTTTGGACGTCGACGTTCTCTGACGTTTTATTGTGTCAACATGACAAATCGTCAAGTGTCAGCAGGGGGGCAGGCAGTCAGGCAGGACAGGCCAAAGGAAAGAGCAGCCAAAGTATGGGTCTTTCTTTATTTAATTTCTTGGGACTTTAATGGGTTAAATGGTTATACCCCTGGCTCTCAATTTATGATGTGCACCTTTTTGTGTGTTTTTTTTCCTTAGCTGGAATTGTTTCAGTTTCGATCAGACTGGGCCATAAATTCCTTATTTTGTGTTTTGTGTTTTTTTTTTTGCTGAGCCTATGGAAATTTATGAGCATTTTCATTTGAATCAATTTACTTTGCTGCCTACTCTACACGCATTTCCCTCTGTCCATTTTCCATCTATCGGATATGTGACTGGACTGTGAGGGGCCCAGGACTTATATTTATGACCAGAGAGAGACAGAGAGCAAAAAGGAGAGCTACGAAAAATTTATTCATTGAAGTTTTTACAGTCAACTAGACACACCTCCTCAATGCGGTTAGCCATCATCATCGTCATCATCCTCATCCCTCAGCATCTCTGCTCTCTCTCTGCGCTCTGCTTGCTCTCTGCTCTCTTCTCTTGCCCTCTCTCTGTAATGATTCATACTTCATCAAGTTGAACCCTGGACTATGGTTTTCCATTCACCATTCAGCATTCAGCTTTTCTCTATGGCTCTGGTTTTCTCCGTTTGCCTTTGGCTTCATTGCTATGCAAACTGCTCCCAATGGCCACGTTTAATGGTCAAGTGTGTAAAATTGCATAGCAAATCGTTGCCCCTAGTAGGAAGGGGACGAGCGAGAGTCCTCCGTACTCTTAGATAAACATCTTTGCCATCTGTGTTTCTCTTGTTTTTTTTGTTTGTTGGCTTTCACTTTGCTCAGTTCCTGTGTTCCTGGATGATGCTGTTTCCGAGTGAGTTACATATTGATGTGATTTACCACTTATTCGGAGTTGTATCTTTTTCTGGGGGGGGCTCTTCTGTCGCACAGTTTACTCTGGCAAATTGTCTTTGGAATTCAAGTTTGAATTGCCTGATGTATGATCTTTGGGCTGATTGAAATGTACTCATCTCTCGATCAAGGCCATAAATGATGAATATTGAAACCCTTAGACGTGACAGAACAGAACGAGAACCAGAAACTGTGCCATCAATCAATTATGCCCCCCAGAAGGGAGCAGGACTTGGCTCTCTGCACTCTGGCCTCTGTTCTTTGGCTCTGGCTCGTCCTTATGGTTGATTTCATTATAATTTCGATTTGCATAACCGAATGTCTAAGCAACAATTTAACAATGCCCACCCACCCACCACCCCCCCAACCCCAATGGGACCTAATGGTCGCTTGGGACTACTTGCCCACTGCCTCTGCGGAGTGTATCAATTTTGGAGGCCCAAGACCAAAGACACAACCTCCTCACATTTCATTAGCTTGTCAACATTTGTGTAGCTTCGAAGTAGCACCGAAGGATGATGGCCTGGCCATGTCTCTTTGACACTTCAGCCTGCGGCATGTGCCCCCCCCCAAAATTGTAGTTGCCATAGATGCCATTCTCGCACCCTCCCCACGCTCTACGCTCCCAAAATCATCTCTCGTTGTTGCTTTTGTATGCCCTAAATAGTTAAACTGCTTAGCGAGGCAGCTTGACGCCCATGTCTTGCGATTCAGACTCGGAATGGATGAGTGCGGGGGAGTGGTTGCTATGCAAATCAATTCTCCCACTTTGTGTTCGTATTTGCTTTGTGCTCTCACTCTCTCTCTCTCTCTCTCTCTCTACGGAAAGCACAAGTTCATTAGGCGACTCATCAACAGCAACAGCAGCGGCAACAACCAGGACTAGGCATCCATCCATTCAGCCATCCAACCATCCATCCATGGAAGGATATTTAGTTAGCTTTATATTAGGCCAGGCGCAGAGGCGTTTTGAACTTTGATACTACTACTCGCTGCAGAGATTTTCTAAAATGCTTTTGTTAATTTATTTTAATTGCCATAAACTGCTGCTGGTGGTGCTCCTGCTGCTGCCTTCTGCTTTGATTTTCATGTAAATTTTAAAGCGCTTTAAGAACACACACACACACACACAGAATTCCAGGTTCCAGGTAACGAGGAGCTGCTCGAAATCCTTTTTTGAACAAAAGAAAAAATAAAGGGAAATCATAAATTTTGTCCCCAGCAGCCATAAAAATGTAAAAAATCCCAAAAGCAAATATGCAATACGTACGCTTGCTATCGATATGGCCAAAATCTAAGGCCAAGCAGCAACCAGCAGCAGGAGGAGGGGTGCCACGACCACGACAAGTCCTAGACAAAAGGGAAGTAAGAATACAAGGCACGTAAGGACACACACACACAGAAAATATATAGATTTATCAGCAAAATGTTATTAAGGGGACCCCGCCTGTAAGTATGCAACAGTTTTGTGTGTGTGTTCGCTTCTTTTTTTTTTTCGGTGGTCTCCGCTGCCGCAGGGCCAACAGCACAACACAACAGGCAGCCAATTAGGCATACCAAAATCGGTGAAACAACCCACTGCCCCCTGCCCCGACCCCCGTCTCTGTATCTCTATCTGTGGTGGGGAAAACTGGTTAACTGTTGCTGCCACTTGGCTCCTTGGCAGCCAGCCAGACATGGCCTTTATTGCAGTTTAATAGGCAGCTGGCGCTGGCTGGCTGGCTGGCTGGCAGGAGGAGTGTTCTCTGACAGGCGGGGAGCATTCCGTGGGTGCTTCCGGGGGGTAGGTGGTGTGATAGATAGGCAAACGCATTAAGCAAATCGTAAATGTTCCAACTTTTTTTCCCTCTTTTCGGCGCATTGCTTTCTCGAATACCACTTAACGCAAATGATGTTGATATAGCCAAGGATCTAGCGATGCTACGGAGTGTGAGCCAGTGTAGGGAGTGCAAGGAACTTTCTTTCTTTCTTTCAAAACCAAAAGGAAATTCCAGGGAACACACACACACTTTTCCATAACTTGGTGTTTTTCTTTGCCGCTTCCCCCTGCCAAAAAAGTAGGCAACGCAAAGTCGTTGAGCGTTAAAAGCAAAACCCGAAAATGTTGTGCAACTTTTTGTGGCAGAGTGCGTGTACCTACGCGCGTGTGTGTGTGTGTATGTTGTTAGAACAAGTTAATGTAAAAGTATTTTTATGCTTTGAAAAACATTTGCCAAGCCAAAAATTATAAAGAAAATAATGAAGGAGGAAAAAGCAAAGAGGAAAGGAAAACAAAAAGTAGAAAAATAGGCAAAGCAACAAAAAAAAAAAAGAAAAAAAAAACGAAAGGCATTGGGGAAATCTTGCGGTTGTTGTTATTGCATAAATAAAATCAAACAAAATAAAAGCAACAGAAAAAAAAGCAACAGAAAGATGAAGCAAGAACAAACCTCTATTGCTGACTCGCTTTCTCTCTCTCTTCCTATCTCTCTGTTGCTCTCATGGTACACATCATCAATGTCAGCGAAATGCTGCGAGGGTTGGGTTCGTGGTCGTCAGCGTCATCGTCAACATCGTCATGGATCAGGCCGCAGGTCTGCTGTAATTTTGTTATAGGCACCAACGGCACGTGTATACGTATCTATGTATGTGAGTGCCACAACCTGCTCTCTCTATGGGTGTGTGTGTGTGTGTGTGTGCCTCAACCTGCGCTGTGTCGTTTCACAAGATAAATGTCTATTTAAATTGTCCCATGGCCGTGCCCTTTGTATCGTCGATTCCAATGCGGTGAGGGCGGGGAATGTCAATGGCAATGCTCTCCACTGCCACTTGACGGTCTATCCATGCCCCAGACCCCAGATCCCAGACCCCAGACTGTGCTCTCTAGTTAAATCTTTATTGTTATCATAATTTGCTTTTATCCGTGCTCAAAGCTTGTCGCTTGGCAGGTTACCTAACCTAACCCAGGAACTCCCTTCCTGCCCACCTATAGAACCGAACAGACAGACACCGAACCAAAAACGGAGACCGCCCCCCCTCACACACAGAGTTCACATTTTTATCGTAATTGTTTTCGTGAATTTTTTTCTCTCTATCTCTCTGGAATGAAGGAAGGAAAAGTGAAAAGCTGCGGAGAAAATGGAGCGTAAATAGCATTCGAGCTGCTCAGGCTTGTTTACCATTTTTTTTCTCTTGCTTTTCTCAGCTTTCCTGCTTTTCCGCTTGCTATGCAAATCAATAAAAGTTGATAATTGAGATTTCTTTAACAAGATTTTGGGTGTCACAATGACAGACAATAATGATGAAGGCTCCTGTTGCTGTTGCCGCGTTTGCTGCGCCCTGTCCTGCCTGATGATACAGCTACTGGGGGTGGATACTGGGGCACTGGGGAATTATTAAAATTATAAGTACCGCGACGCGTAGTCAGCAATGTGGCACTCCCCTGAAATCTAGAGTCCTGTGTGGCAGCGACATAAATTATAATTAGATTGGAAAGTGGAGTTCCAGACCTTGAAAAATGATATGCCAACAACCAGAGGGAGTGAGGGAACGTAGGCAATTTCCTGCCCCACCAAAATAAATGCATCATTAAAAGATTTAAAAGGGAAATCTATATCATAGAATAATTATATTGCTCATTAAATGATTTTTTGTTATTATTGTTGTTGTTGTACCATTATATATTTTGTCTAGACTTTTGATTCTCTCTCTCTCTCTCTGTCTGTGTCGTGCTCTTCTTTGCATAATTTATTTTTATTTTTGTATCCCGCTGTCTGCCTTTGTCTGTCTCCCTCTAACTAGTAATTGTCGTATGAGATTTGATTTTGTGTGCCTCTCTAGACTAATACCCCAGAGATTGTTGTACTTGTAATTCCATTGTCTATGTCCAAATGTCTAGAGATCTAAGCCTAAGTCCCGCCTCCAACGGGCACCCAAAAACTCAATCAAATGACTAACCGATTTCTCAAATTTCTATTTTATTTGCAGGTAAGGATCGATGAACAATTTATATATAAGCTGAACTATTTGGTAAGCGTTTTATGGCACAACCAAAAAATTCCAATTCAATTTGTCACGAGCAAAACGTATCTCGCAGGACCTCTTCTTTTTTTTTTTTTTAACCGATTGGGTTCTGTTCATAAAAAATCTCACTTCATTTGGCATCTTGCGGCGGGCGGCAGTCGAGCAACAATTGTGTGCCATAATTGAATTTTAAATAAACCTTCTTGCCACACACAGAGGATAGAGCGAAAGAGAGAGCGAGAGAGAGAGAGAGAGGCACGCACACGTACTATAGTCGATGGCGGAGTCGTGTCTGGGTATCCTTTTCCTTGCCACTTGTCTACGTTTTTTTTTTTTAACTGTAAATAAATTTCATCGAATTTCAACGACAGCCGACAGCCCCAGACAGCAGAAGAGAGGACTCTGTCTTGGGCCCCCGCGCTTGTGTCCCGTAGTGGTGTTTGCCGCATCCTGCGCCATAAAGTATGCAATTTTATTTCAGTGCGACCGGCACTTACCTGGCTGACTGCTGCCTGACTGCTTGACTGCCATAAAATATTTAAGTTTACATTTCTTACACACACACCAAACGGAAGAGGAGTAGAAGCTCCCCAGCTCTTGCACCTCCTAAGATGATCCTTTTGCCTGCAAATGGGAGTCTGCCGTTTTTATAACTGAATTTGAACAGTTCTCTCCTTGACCACACACAGAGTTCTCGCAGTCCTTGCAGTCCATACATGTCTGGCTGGCTCTAATATTTGTTTTGCCATTGTCAGAGACCTCGGACACGGACCTGAACCTGCTCTATTTGTCCAGCACTTGACTCTGCGAACCTACTCCAGAGCTCTGATTACCGGCAATTTCAATTTTTCCTTCCTCTCTCAGCAAATATAATTAAGTCAACACACACACACACACATCTATCTATCTTTCTATCTATCTTTATAGAGAAAAAGAGTGAACCAGATGCATATGCATTTTATTTAAGAGTTCAATAAGCAAACCTGACAGCCATTAGGTAATTAATTTAACACTTGGCCACTAATTGGCTTCCAATTACCAATTGAATCAAATAAAACAAAAAAGCACAGACACAGACTGTCAGTGGGTGAGAGAGAGAGAGAGAGCTGGAGAGATAAAGTGAGAATCCGACAGATACGAAAGATAGCCAAAGTCAAAGAGTCATTAGAGCCATTTGTGGCACATTCAGGGTCAGCCATGGCAGCCAGGGCAGCCATGGCAATAGTTTCATCAGGAAACCTTACATCAAAATCGCTTCAATGAACTGGTCAAATGTGGAATAGGTCCCGACAGAAGCAGCAGTAGCAGTAGCAGCAGGAGAAAGGAGAATGGAGAATGGACTGTGCTCTCAAAGCTCACTGAACCAGCTCGAAATTAATGTGCCACGTAAAAAGGGTAATTTCTGAAGCCACGTCAAAGGTCCCTGCCACCGAGAGCTTCAAGCTGACTTGTTGCGTGCCTTCTTGGTCCTTTCTTTACTTCACTTTTGGCCCACTTTTCTACCACTTTAACTCCGTCCTTTCCCCTTTTTTTTCCTAGTCAAAGTGAAGTCAAGTGCAAAGGAAAGTAAAATATTTTCTTGGAAAAAACTGACAAAAAATTCATACAAAAAAAAACACAAAAAAATATAAAAAACTTAAGGGTATGCCCTTTGCTGTCATACATCGACGTAGCTTCTGGGGTAGCCAATCCTTGCTTTAAAATCATAGTAACACCCTGCCAAAAGGGTATCCCAAAGAGACCAGAGAACACACAAGGGAGAAACTTTTGTGATGTCCCCCTCATTAACAGGAAAGTGTGGGAAGCCCGCTATATCCTGGCCTCGGCTCGGCTATAAAGGATGGCTGGAGATGCGTTTGGCGCCCGCCCGCCTTTGGCATTAAACTCATTAACGGTAATTGCAACCTTTTCTTTTTCTGTTTTCTCTACTTTTTCTTGACGCCGCCGCATTGCCTCTCGCGATGCCTCGCGTCTCATTTTTAAAACGCAATTTTGTTAATTAATTTTGTTCGCACATGCCGCCATGCCGCATGGCTGTGTCTGCCACCCAAAAAGGTTGTCTCTTCTGAGGCGTGTGTCGTCTCCCTCTCGTTAGCACTAGCATTAGTCGATGATTTGGCTTTTGAATATGTTGTCAATCAGCGTAGAGCAACGAGGCAGTGTAAGAGCCTTGGCCTCATCTATCCCATCCATCCAGCCATCCATCCATCCGCCACTTGTAGCTGCGCGGTTTTCACTTTCGGCTTTTCAATTACAGGAAGAAAAAAAAAAAAAAAGAACGCCCCACAGCCAAACATTGGACAGGGTATGGGGTGCAGTGCGGTACGGTACGGTAGCGTTTTCTTTGGCTTTTTCGGAATCAAAAGGCAGCCCAGGAACAGCGAGCAGCCCGCCTCCTGTTGCTGACACTGATGATGATTGTCGCCGGGGGGGAACCATAGCCAAAGAAAGTGAGAACGAAGCTCTAGCTGGAGTGGAGTACTCTCTACTCTCACATTACCCTCGACTGTGTCTGTGTGTGTGGGGGCACAATTTGTCTTGCGGCCAAATGTTCTATTATCAGTGGCAGAGAGAGTGCCCTGAGAAGCGAAAAATAATATCCTCACTTGCACGGTTAGCGTACTCCGAAGATGTGCTTCCCAGATAGAGTACAGAGAGCCCCTCAAGGCAGTTAACTGAATTTGAGTGAAAAACGAAAGGAAAAACTCTGAGTGTGTGTGTGCCAGCAGCTTAAGGAGCTTCTGTGATTTATAAGCATGTGCTCTGGGGGCTAACCTTTCACGTCCACTGCCATACGGCCACACCCCTTCAGCGTGTCCGGGCGTGGCCAGACCCGACCCGACCGGGCTAGACCAGACCCCTTTTTATGGGTCAGTGCAGCAGCGGCACAAATACAGAATGCTGTCACTGTTGTTGTAATCAAGTTAATTGCAGGGAAAAAAGAGCGCGAGACAGGCGCCTAAAAAAGAGAGAGCGAGTAATTATGAGTAATTGCTATTAATATAATAAAGCCAGCGAGACCCAGAGAGCTAGCCAGAGGATGACATATTCATAGCGCCCAATGGCACGCAATGAAAATATAAAAAAATTTCCAAAAAAAAAACAAACAAAAACAGGGGAAGTCGAAAATTCGACGACAAAATACCTCATTCCTAGGGGAATTATCGACATCTAAATTATCTAAAGGGAAAATTCTAAACCAGATGTACCCTTTACTCAGTTTCTATGCGATATGCCAATGAATCCTAAAAGTATGCACTAAAAAGTTTGCCAGGTGTTCAAAGAGCCAAATTAGTTTGGTTTATTTTGGCTTTAAATATGATCCGATCAATAAAAGTATCTACAAACGAGGAAACGAGTTAAATTCTATGCAGAAACAATTTGCGATTATTCATATAAAATGTCAAAATTTTTGTTTATTTTGCCAATAAAAAAAAGGCAAAAATAAAATATTTTGTCGGGTTTATTCCAATTTATAAGTATGGTGGATATGTGATAGACTCAACCAAGCCTACAAATTAATTTTTATGCCGTGCATTAGATCATTTATACCTTTAAAAGTGTTGTACTGTCTGGTCAAAAGTTTTTTTTGAATCGTAAATTAAAAAAAAATGTAATTAGTCACATTATACCCTTGTAGTTGGTTATTACCAGGTATAAAATATACCAGAAAAAAACAGGAAAAATTATTCACAGAACGGAACAGAATACATTTGATTATAATCTACGTCAACAGCAGCAGAAGCAGCAACCAACAGGCAACAACCAACAACAACGAGGGTTGTTAGCATAGACAAAGCTCGAAAATTGATATTAATTTTTTCGCTTCTCTCTGTTTTTTTTTTTTCTGTTGTTTGTTTCGTGCCATGGAATGTCCATAAAAAAATTTACCTAGAACAAAAGAAAGGAAAGCGAAAAGAGGCACAAAATGTTATGAGCCATTTGAGCGCCTTCTTATCGGTGATACGCCTCTCCTCTCCCCCAGTCCTTATACGCCTCACAGAAACCGCAGCAGAAACGTAAAGCCACGAAACCAAACCGCGGAAAACACCGTGGGACGCAATGTGTTGCCTTGGCATTAATTTTTGCTATTTAGCAGCAGCCTAAGAAAAGAAGGAGAGGAGAAAAAAAATATCAAATTAATTAGTGAAGCTTTTTGTGGCACAAGTAATAGCTAGAGCCAACAATTTGGATAAATGAAAAACCTATTTTCGGTCAGCTTATAAAGCGACAGGGAAACAAGGGTCTAAAAAGGAATGCAAGGGAAGAAAGGGACGAAAGGGAAGGAGCACAGCCAGCCAATGAGGCCGAAACTAAATGGGCCATGACCAATTGGAGAGCAATTTGTTAGGGCTAACAATGGGCTAAGAGTGGTCTTGTGGGCTAAAGAAGTGGGCAAGGGTAACTGCATTTCGATTTATGGTTTTCAGAGGATTCAGGACTCACATAATTATATGCAATAATTAAGCAGCATAAACCATTCCATGTGTGTTTTTGTGTGAGCCCAAACAGATGCCATTTGTCAATCTGACATTGATAAAGTCTTTTGGGCTAGATTTAGGAATATGTATGCCCTGTTTCGGCTCTGCTGTTTAGTTCTCCATGAAGCCATAATGTGTGAGAAAAGCGAAATACAATAAATGTTGTGTCGCTCTGACACTGCCACAGCCAGCGGCAATGACTAGTTCTCAGAGTCGATTCTTCGAATACCCTTTGCAGATCGTTGAGATTGGATCGACATAAAGAAGGTCATGTGTAGATAAATTCCAAAAGTATGCACTGATTGAATATATCAATGAAAAAATGGTATTCCAAAGGGAATTTACTTTGATTTAAAACTAAATAAAAATAATAAATAAAATAAATAAATTGCAGACTTTAGCCAGGTGTTCAAAGAGCCAAACGACATAACTAATTTCCCTATAAACAACAGACTCTCCCCCCTCATGCATGACAAACCACTGACAAAATTCGCATTACCCTCTACAAAACAAAGGGCATAATGC